CCACCCTCTATCACTCACACACTTTGGAACTTAGTGTTGAAAGTTTTGTGGGAAAACGTCCCACATGAGAAGATCAGAAGGCTGTGTCTACTGCATAGCAGAGGTGGAATGGATGCAGTTTTACTCCTGGGTGCCTGAGTGGTAACAAGACCTTTCCCTTAGCAAATGCATGTGGTCGAGAGCAATTTTATACTATCTCTCGAGCAACTTCACCTCTGAGGAGGTGACCATGCCCCTCATTCCTCAACAAGCATAGATAACTTTCCCTCCCCTAACTGCTTCCATGGATTTCTCTCTCCCTCTGTTATTTATTAAAATGTGCAATACAACAAGAAAGGGAAAAGATTATCCTGCCTCCTGCCATGCAAGACGACATGCAGAAGGCCAAGGTTAAATGCAGCATTTGGTTTCGTAAGCTCCTCTAATGCATAGGTGTGGAAAAGCAATCTGGGACCACCGTTTACAGCGGTGACTCTCTGAGGATAAAAACTTGACTTTAATTTGGACTCTCTGGCTAAGATAAAATCTGCTTCTGCTATCATTATCCCACTTATGTGTGTCCCCACTTTCTTTCCACTCTGCCACCCAGCTGAGTGGGAAGAAATTAACCTGACCTTGAAGAATACTCACAGAATCTTCAGGACCACCGAGTTTTCAATAGCCAATACTATTCTACAGGCCTGCCAACATTTCCATAGACTCCCAGGCCTGAAAAGGATCTTAAAAATTATATAGACCACACATTTAACAGACAAGGAAAACGAAGTCCAAAGAGCTAATGTGACTTGTCCAAAGTTGTCAGCTAGTTGGAGGAGGGTCAGAACGAGAGTAAGACCTCAAACCCTGGAGCCCCCCTATTCCCATGGCACTGTGACGAGGCTCCAACCATATCCAGCTTATCTCCAGATCACTGACGAAAGGGCATGCGCGCATCAGGGCTTTTACACAACGTTTAGAATTTCCCTAGTGCAAATACAGACTCCCAAGGAACGGTCTCCAGAAAAGCCATCTCAAAGGTCACAGAAAGGAGGTATTCACCATTCTTATGCTTACAGGGTCTTTATCCAGATCAAAATTATATGTTGAAATTAAAACCGTACATTGTTTTTTCTACCTAGGAATGATGAGACCCTATATTTTCCTCCCCAAAGTTGCTTCCATTTATGTTTCTGATCTGCTCCTGCCCAACCCATTCTGTATGTCTAGTTTCAGCTTCTGGCACAGCCTGGGGCCAATGGGTTAGGGCAAAGGTAAGAAGTATGGATTGATATTTATCCTGGAACCTAAGGATTAAATTCAACTCATAGGTGTGTTTTGTAAACCCAAGTCTGCTTTTCTTATTTATCCTGAGAAGTATAAATTCTCTCCTCATCCTTCCTGAGAATGAATTTGTGGGTGGGTAGCTCTCGAGTGCCCATGGAGATTCCAAAGACAGCCCTCCAGGGGCCAGCTCTGGTGCCCACGCTAGACACCCAGCTCCCCTATAACCCTGAGCAACCAAAAATTAGTACTCTGAAGTGATAATACTCTAGACTCCTATCTGTCTTGAAGCAACAACAGACTGGTTTTGTAAATGCAGTCAATTTCATGGAATCGAGTAAAAGGGTGGAAAACTCATATTGCAATAGTAGAGCAAAACTCGACCAGAACTATTTGGAGAGTTTCAGTCTAGAGTGATACAGCCTGCCAGCTCTCTTCGCTTTTTTTTTTTTTTTTAATTTTCATCTCGAGAAATGACCTCACCCAACTAGACTGACACAAGCCACTTACATTTATTATATTTTTCTGAAGACGTGACAGCCTCTGTACACTTGTAGAAATAATTATTATTCTTCAAAGTTGTTTTTTAAACCTTCTGAATTCCTGGTTTTCCCTGACAACCTAAGTTGCCTAGTTCTAAACTGCTCTCTCGCAAGCAGAGTTTGAACAATGTAAAAGGACAAAGCCCACATAAAACAAAGAATTGTAAAATAGAATTTAAAATGTCATATCTGATTTTAGTTGATCTTTGTTCTTTTAATCATCTTCAGACAAAAACACTTTACTCTGGTGCATAAAGATCATTACCTTTGAGAGTTAAATATCTTTGCAGGTCCTCTTAAAGTTTTCTTTTTAAAAAGTTCAAACATTTCATGTTCCACAAACTCAAAAACCCCTCAGTTAGTGTAGAAAGAAAACAGTATTTCAAAACCATGGAATTCTTCATTTTCTTTACACATGCCTATAGTAAAGGGAAAAAAAAACCTTTTTCTTCTTAAAAATTAGTTCTCTATCTACTCGGCAATATTTTAAAATGTTTTACTATATCATTCCTTCAGTGGTCATGCATTAGATCCACAGAAGTTAAGAGTATTACCTTACCAATGTATTTGTTAAGTTTATGAGTTAAAACCCCGATAGGAAAGGGGCGCCTGGGTGGCTCAGTTGGTTGAGCCTCTGACTTCGGCTTAGGTCATGATCTCACAGCTGGTGAGTTTGAGCCCCGTGTTGGGCTCTGTGCTGACAGCTTGGAGCCTGGAGCCTGCTTCGGATTCTGTGTCTCCCTCTTGCTCTGTCCCTAACCCACACGCATTCTGTCTCCATCTCTCTCAAAAATAAATACACATTAAAAAAAATGTTTTTAAACCCTAATAGCAAAAAAGAATATTCTCTCAAGGCTGTAAAGAAAGAAATGTGACTCTCAGCCTTCATTTCTTGCAAAAACAACACAAAACGCAACAGGTCCCCTGGATTTTCATAGGAAACCATTGAATGACTTCTGGAAGTTCTCCTGTTGGAATTTATTTCCATGAGGCTGATCGGTCACCTCATCCACAAGTCCTATCAACAGCCATTCAAAGGATTGTCTACATCTGACTTTCAGTGGCCAATAGAGATTTATAAGATATTGACACTGTTCAGAAAAGACTGATGTCCACAGAGCTTAAAGTGTCGCTCCACTGTAAGGAACACTGGACTGGATACAACAACTGGGGACTGAGCTAAGTAACTTCATCCCTCAGAGCCGCACAAGTTCTTTTCGTTGGTAATTTCTCCTATTTGGGTGCCTCACATAGAGGAAGTGTTTAATCATATGGTGTGTAGGTCCATCTAATTTAACTGCTCCTAAAAAGCATTAAACTCATTCTCTGGAATAATAGAGTTGAATTCCAAATGCTAAAAACATTAGGATGGCTGCAATCATGCATCTTGTAAGTTTGATTGTACCTATTTTCTCCGTAGGTGCCAAGTGCACACTTTAGATTTTTATAGCCTGCGTTCATGGCAGTCCCAGGTCAAAGGCATTATGTTGTCTCGCACTTGTAAGATTTAAAAAAAAAATACACATTCAAACCCGACTCAAAAGAACGTTCACCTTCCAAGCAACAATGACCCAAGTGCCGGGGAAAACACAATTACTCATCTTACCCAAATGGTTTCATTTCCAGGAAAACTTGGGGCCACCATTGAGAATTCAAGTTCATAGCAACAAAGTTAGGGGACAACAAACAAAATCAGTTCTCAAATGCTAACTCTAAATCCACTGGTCTCTCTGTGTGTCAAGCTAGTGTGGCTTTGCATACTTTGCTGTTGAGGACCTGGGGACTCATGGCTATTGTTGTCCTCAGGTAGGGAGGGCCGCCTGCCCCAGAATCAAGGAGGGGGTTGAGTTGGCATTTGAAATGAGTGTATGGGCTGCTCACTTTGTTGGACTTTGTCACTGTATCACCAATGCACTAAATCATCTGTCATCTCACTGGGGAAAACATCACTGTGTAAGTCAAAACCTGGGCTATTAATTTCTGGATCTGAGGTGTTGACACCACAGTCATTATATTCTGAAGCTAATTTATTTTAGAGGCATCTAAGTTAAGAATGGCTTTCTGAACTTTAAAGTTCTGTATTCCTGAATGATGGTCGATTAAGGATAAGCTCTGGTAGTTAGCCTGAATATCTATTTTTGATGCCCTGGGCCTCAAGGTAAAAAAGTCAATGTATAGAAGCTTTATTATTTTATAAAGATGCAGATTTGTTGAGGCTGTTTGCATAATTTTAGAGAAATTGTTAGTCCGTGGTTGGAATGGTTGGAATCTGGGACACAGACCAGGGGCTGAATTTCTTTACCCTCCTAACCCCAGAGAGTCTTTAGAAAAATAGAAACAAAAGAGCACAAAGTACTTAAGGTAAGACACTGTTGTATTCATAATATAGAGAAATAACCACCATGCCTCATGGACAGGAGATGCAGTTCTCCACGGGGCTACAAAACTGTGTTGGTAATAATTTTAATTGGATGCTATCTTTGCTGCCTTCAGAAAGTATCATAAAATGGAATTATTACAGGCTACAAGTGCACTTACAGTGCCGGCCTCTCACAGGAGGAAACAGAACACATTTATCCATTGGAGGGCAACATCAATGGGCTTCTATTTGTTTCCTTTACATGCATCCCCAGCCGCCTGCTATTTGCTTCCTCTTCCCTACGTCTAGGAGATCAATTCGAATTAGGTGCTGCAGACCTGGGTGCTAAGTCTGACCGGCCCTCGGCCTGGGGGGGGGG